AAAGCGCAGTAGTAAACCACTTCCACTTCATGTGTCGGTCTTCTGTGAGGTCGTGGTACTTACCCGGATGGACCTGCCCATTCGTGCAACAGCCGAAGATGTTGCATGGCCTTACCACAGTTATATTATGCTGAATGGACCACACCTGCCTAACAATTTGTATAAAGATAAAGAACGATTTATAACCCTATGTTTCGTGTAATTAATGAAGCTACTGGAGAACCACAATATAAAAGCAAGTGGTGTAATTAGATACATTTCCTTGTACTTGACGACAGATGGCGGCATCTCCTTTCCACCGCATGACCTGTTGTTTATAAACATCTTAAAATAACCGAGACAGTTTTATATATATTAAACAAGTAAAATGCGAGGGATATACCGTAAATATCACATTTCATTCTAAGAAATATTCAAACTCAGTTATCGATTTGAACATTCGACTTGTTTCGATTTTGCTTTGTTGCAAGTTTTTACTGTCAATTCCTCTAGAACTAGCTGGATGTTTTTTTTTAATTTTTTTATCTGTTTTTTATTTGAGAAGGCAGCAAGCGAGCTGGCGGTTTACCATGGGCTCTTCTAGTAACCGCCGCACATGGTCATTTGCAACACCCGTAGGGTTGCAAATGCGTTGCCACCTTTACCCCCGGCCCCGGCTACCTCACGCCGAAACGCAGAAGTATAATAGGAACAGAGGTCGTGGTACTTCTTCGGATGGACCTGCCCATTGTGATACAGACTGTTGCGTGGCCCTGCCACAGTAAACAATGTACTGAGTACCGACGTACACATTAAATGTTTTGTACGTCTCTCCTTTTCTTCCTCAGAACATAAAAAGAGTAATACGTCTGAGCCTTCAAAATGGAGATTACCTTACGAATACACTCAAACCTACAGAATTCTCATTTATTTTTACAACATTGGTACAGATTTAGGATGTTACAGATAATTTTCAAGATGGCAGTGGTTCGGGTAATAGTGACACCAGTATGGTTACAATAAAAAAAACCATTAAAATGTAGTACAATTTGGGTAAATGTAAAAAATCAAAGGTAGATATTTGTCGGGGTTCTCTCCCATCTCATTATTATCCCATAAAAGAAATGCATGCACTGTACCATTTCTGCTCATCTTCTACTGTGTCTTTTAGGTATTTCACTCGCGTTAGAATCATTTATAAGGCAATCGCTCAGACGTGGATTATTATTATGTTCAAGTCACACAAAGACCTTTTTCGTAATCGAATCCGTTTCAGCTGCGCAGGGTGTTTCTAAACAACCAGGGAAATAAAAGAGTCCAATTTTGATAAATATTTTATTGTGCTTCAACAATGTTTGACGCAAGACGAGATAAGAGTATGAATATTTTATGACAGCATATTCTCATTCGACGGGAGAGTGAATGGCAGCGTCATACAGTTCGAAAGACTCGTTAATCAAAACTTAATCATTTAATTGAGCCAGTATTCGCTTTAATCGTGTTTGAGTTTCATTAAAAATGCCGAAGACAAATACAAAGAAAATAAAATACCACGAGTTCTCAGATTCTGAAAGGATAACAATAATTTGCTCTTTAACTTCTCCAATTTGAGTTAATAAAAGGCGTGATGGACTTTCGTTGTTTCGGTATCAAGGAATGATACCGAAATATTCGGTATCATATTCACAAACTATTACAAATTGGACCAAATACAGATCCTTGAGGAATTTGTTTCTTTTAGACATATTACCATGACATAATACAATGACACTACATGAAATAATACAATTGATGATTAATTACAAAGCTTTTTCTTCTGTTTCTTATTCGAAAAAGAGAAATTATTGGATCTGACGAACATTTCATAACAAACATCAAAATTGGTTTAGAAATTTAGCTACAATATATCACCATTATGCTATTCCGATGATCAACGTAAAGCGTTAAGATTCCTAGACGTAGATTTTAAAACAATTAAAAATAAATAACTAATTTGTATTATTTTCAATTTCACAAAGCCGAACGAAGTATATTTTAAGAGGAACTAGAGAACAATAAAATAGCTAACTTTATTTACAAAGTAATACACTAATACATCACAGCTGTATTTCACTTATAAGAGAGTATAAATTCAAAGAATAAGTCAAATAAATATTTGAATAGACCAAGCTAAATCAAACGACGATGACCGTTTCTGCTTTTAAATTTACCATAAAATTCCTATTTTAAGTAGCCCTTATTAATCGAGACTTGATTTTGACTTACTTTTGGTTAAGCATATTTCATTAGTCTAAAATGAAGTATCAAGTAGGCATGTGTCAGCGTTCACTGTCGCAAATTCCTAATCATAATTAGAGCTTATTTTTATAGTTATAACGTACCTTTTTATATATATATTGTGCTTTTGGAAGGAAAACATCATTATTGTTGAATATAAGGGATCAATATGAAATTTTGGATCTGAAGATGGATTCGGATGAATGGATAAACCGGATTCGATTGCGTTTATAGATGAAATTATTTTGTATTATCAGATAGTTTCGGATGGCTTCAGTTACTGATATTAGAATCTTTTAGTGATGGTGAAAGGAAAGTGGACATAAAATAAAAATACAAACAATTTAAAAGATTATTATCATAAATAGACATAGCTTATTCGTTATCGCCCATTGAATTTATAATTATGTTATTTATTCGGCTTTACTAAACATAAGACACGAAAATTAAATAAAATCGCGATTTTAACTTTGTTCGTTTAAAAATCCACAATTCCAAGATGGCCGATGCGCGCGGAAATGAAAGATCGAGGCAACCCGGATTCCTGTAAAGAGTCAATTTCTCATATTACAATGTAACGACCTCATAGTCGCCAAAGTCTTATTTACACCAATTTAGACTCTGTCTCTATCAGAAACTTTTATAATGTTACGACTTCGGATGGATTTCTATTTTATTATCCAATATTTTTCGGTTACGCTTACAGAGTTGTACAGCATCCCTGTTGAATATTCCAAAATCGTCAGCTTTAAACATAATAAAAATAAATAAATTCTATGTCTAGGTGTAAGTTCTTTAGTATGCTAAATATTTAGATTATGGATTTGCTTAGGGCATGTTGCGTACAAAATTGATCATCGTCCTTTGAGCTAATTGACAACATTGGTTGGCAAGCAGAAAATACAAAAACTAATGAAAAACAGAACATAACTAATATATTGACCGTTTCGCAGAAGTATATTTAGACTATGGTGAACCTGTCACCATCTTACCAAAGGGATTACGAAATAAGGGAAGTAAACACATTTTCCAAGCAATCCGGTTTCTCATGAATTATATAATTAAGTAAATAACTTAAGCAACAGAATCTCGTCAGTGATTTTTGTAAACAATATAATACTACACAATATAGCATTTGTATAGTTTCAATTAATTATTATTCTCAACATAACCTATAAAAATATAATACCAATAATACACACCAAAGTTTTGACAGACATAATTTTATTCGCGATAGTGAAGGGGTATAATTTGCGGAATTTTTTTATTCATTATATTTATTATCAGATATATTATGTATTTATTTGTTTTAAAACATAAAATTAAAATAGTTTTGTCTAAGCAACTTATTATCTCTTTATTAGGGAAAGGGATTTTTTGTTACGGCTTAGCAACAGTTGGTGTTTGAAAGGTTAATGATCTTTTAGATTTTAGGTAAAGTCGATCATAAGGTTTAAATGGACCCTGTATTTATCAACGCCACGAACAATCTTGATATATTTGTTACACTACCGTTTTCAAAACTATTTTAAGATAAATACATAATCATGCGGAATTTCAAGTGTAAAAAAATTTTGGAAGTCACTGTTCAGTCTAAATTTTCCAATTTCGTATGACAATTCTCTCGTCTGGTTTACTATCAATTTTGATAGTGTTCATTATGTTATAATAGAAAATCGCTTTAGCGAATTACAAAGAGTAGTTGTAAAAGATTGTAATTTCCTATTCAATCGGTATTTATCAACATCTTATTTAGCATTATGCAATTTATAAAGAACTCCTCTACATTGATTTTACATCGCAGGAGATAAAACGTGTGAAATTATTACATGTGTTATTTACAACAACAGATAAAATCAAAATTAAAACAATAACATATCATGAAATTTCGCCAAGATTCACGATATTGACACGTAATTTTCGCCAAGGGACACATCAGTTAAAACATCTAAACTGTAAGCAAGTTTGACTGCAATCTTGTGTCCACGAGCTACTTAATATGTCGATTACAAAACATAACTTTGAAATGAAATAGGTGCCATAACCTTTATGATCAAAGGTATAACTTTGAAAAAAAAAAATTGTTTACATAAAAGTAAACTTAATCTGCCAATAACAACATTCGGAATTGAACTAAGAGCCATCGGGTTGGCTTCCAACGTTCTCACCTCGACATAATCTCAATCACAATTAACCAACAACTAAAGGATTCTCATCAGATATCAAACACGAGAAAGAATCCTGTATTGATCTATTTTGGACGCACGAGAAGAAATCCAAGGCGTTCACTAGATTCCAACATCAGCACCATGCCCTCGACCTGTATTTGCAGGTATAAAAAGATATCCCGAAGAAACTAGAGAGCTCTCCAAAAGACTAAGAGACCCTCAGGCTCCAACTAGAACCATTGCACCGAACATGACGATTCCAACCTGACGGAGAATGACGGAGAAATAAACTGGAGAGTTCACCATAGGCCAAGAGCTGCTTTGGTTCCATTGAGAAACGTTACACCGAACATGATGTTTGAGGTTAGACGAAGGAACCTATAAAAAATTGAGAGCTCACCAAAGGCTGCGTAGATTCCGACCAGAACCGTTGCATGTATAACGTTTGGGGTTTGACGGAGAATCTGAAAACTGAACGTTCTGAACACTAGAACAGAACCGTTGCACCAAACATGTTTGAGCTTTGACGGAGAATCCCGTGAAAACTGTAAGTTCTAAACACCACAGCTGATTCTATACGTTCACGCCACTCTTTTCGCTCGCCGATGCGCTTTGTCCCGTGTCCAATATGGCCTCGGCGCTTGGTATCACAATCACTTCTGTAACTTTTGCAGCGCAGGCAATGTCGCATTCCCCGCTCGCGTTCCTATCGCACGAATCGCACGTGACCGCGCCATCCTCTATTTCTGGGCAGCCCTTCATCCAGGGGCGGGATTCCCCGGATTCTCTCCCTCCCAGCTCGGATTCGGCACCAACGGTGCAGTAGCTCTCGATTTCGGTGCAGATCCTCTTAACGTCTTCGACGCACCTCCATTCGTCTCCGTTGTTGACCGACATCTTGACCAGCCTCTCGGTGTCCAAGCCGATAAGGGTGGAGTCATCCCCGAGGGTGAATATCACCTCGGAACTACCCCCCGCTGCACCCTCGCCGCCGCCCATTTTGCTGATCTCCGAATCTGAGCTGTGGCCCTTGAGGTGGTTGTCAGTGGAGTCCGTACTTGTCAGTTTCATGTTGTAGATGTTGGAATCGCTGCCCATTATCGATGTGGTGGACGCGTCTAGAGTCGACAGCTCCTGTAAGTCAGTTTGGGATAATACGGAGTAACTAAATGCGAGTTCTCATTTGTTGTTTAACTACCAGCCAATTATCAGGGAATTCAGAGAGAGTAGTTCCAATTATAGTAAAAATAGATTAACAATAAAATTACCTTTATATATATGCTATGTATTATTTTATTTATTTATTTATTTATTTAATCTTTATTGCCAACCTTCAGTAAAACAAGGTAACAAAGGGCGGACTTAATGCCCAAAAACATTCCTCTACCAGTCAACCCAGGATGTGGTGAGAGTTTATGGTAGGTGCAGCAAAAGATGCAAGTATAATAAAATTTTAAATAAAGAGAATATGTATGAAACAATATGAAATATATAGTACATTTTTGAGTATAATAGGAATTTGGGCAAAAATCTAGTTAAAAATAATCGTGTGAAAATTACTTTCCTAAAGACAATAATTAACGTCCAAAGAAAATTTAATAAGATTAGTGATGAAGATTAATAACAAATTGAATAAACATTACTTATAAAGTTACAAAAAAGTTAAGTGGTATTAAAGGGCGGTTGAATTCGATTGAATTCCGATTAATATTACCGGATGCCACTGTATTAAAATTACATGGAGCATAGACAATTTTTGGGAATGCAGGTACCACTTTCTTCTCTTTCCTTATCTCTATGTTACTTATAGAATAGTTAGAGATAAAGAGATAAGTCATTGTAAAAAAAATTGTGTAGTAGCCAAATTTAACCGCCCGCTACGAGCACTTGGGTATTAAATGTAGTGAAATCACTTCTAGCATGTTGGAATTTTACAATAATTTATTACCCATTAAGAAATAAATTAAAAATAACTTATATGAATTATAGATCTCAACAACCAGCAAATTAAAATTATTATTTTTTTATAAGAAAATGATATTAAATAATTTAATTTAGTTAGTTAAAAAAAAAAAACAAATAAGATATACCAAATCTAAAACGCAGTTCAATAAATTATACTTTTATTAAGGAAGATTGAAATCAACTTTAACTTACCTATTATTATTTTTTTAAACAGATAACCTAGTCAAATTAAACAGTAACAATACAATAGCAGACGAGACGAATATAAGACACAAGAAAACATAAGCGATTACTGATGCTACAAAATCTGTTAGAGTATACCATATACCTACCAAAACCAACATAACATAAATATACATACATAAATATTTTCAATGCGATAGGGAACGTTTTCTCTGTGGGCGTTTGATAGGACTTACTGGTACCGTCAAAAACTAAAAATAAAAAACACAATCAGTTGCACGTTGAGGAAAAATCGAAATATGACCAATATTTGTCATGACAGATTTAAAATCAGATCCAATGTAACATAATTTATCCTTATTTTCAACTAAGTCATACATGTTAGACCTGCATCAATGGATCTACAACAAATTGAGAGGAAGACAAGATAGAATAGTTTCAATAATAATAAAAATAGATCAACAAAAGAACAATCTTTTAAAAATATACTATGACGAATTGCTATGAATTATTTTTTTTATATCACTATAACGATTTAAATTGAAATTAATTCGAATCTTCTAAATCTACGATGAAATAAACAATTATTTATCGAGAATTGTACTTTATCTTGACGACATTACACTTTTACGTCATTAGTTACGGTATATGTAGGGCATAATATTATATAATAATTATTTTTATCATGCAACCAATATTACATTGATATTTATGTAGGCCCATAATGTCTTAATTTGTCATGTTTGTCTGTTAAATGTTCTGGTTTCAATAATTTATTTATTTATTTGAATAGGGTATAAGGCGTTGATAAATATGGTTAGACAAACTAAACGCTGAACTATTTCAAAAGATTCTAAATTAAAGTAATTTATAACTGAATGAGTTGTAACTGTGATAATTAGAAATTAATAGTATTGCACCCGAACAAATATATGATTTAAGGCATCAAAATAAGAATAAATGGGGTAGTTTCATTAAAACACAAGTCAATTTATTTATTATGATATTTTAAATATCTCAAAACTATTTTTAGGGCAGCCATGACAGTTTCATAGACACAAACAGACAAAATTTACTTCTTGGATTTAATGTATTCTGATATTGTATTAGTAATTATTTAATAGATTATAAATTATAATATTACAGAAAATATTGTGACATGGTATTATAAAAAGTATATAATAATTTTTAGCGCTCAATGCACAAATCTGCATTCTCTACTTTTTTTTATCGCTTTTTTAGCTATGCTTTGCGCCATCTAGCGCTTCTCTTGCCTTTGCTATTGAAATTTATAATTAATTTCATTTTGCTGCTAGTAGAAAGTAAAAACGTGTAGATAAATTGCCGAAACATTTTTGGCCGCCGAAAATATGCAGGTTTCGCCACGTTTTCATTCATTCCGGTTATTGGTTGCGGGCTCCGGGATTTGAACACAGATTGCTATTGAATTATATTAGTATATTGAATTAAAATCGAGCGCCCGGACACTGAGCTATCAAAACGTAGATAATATTTAAAGTCAGTCATTTCCATTCAATATACTTATTTTAAGCTCATTAACGTCGTATAAACTACCACCGGCTCACTAAAATACTGGCCAACTAACTCTGCGGTCTTATTATTTTATTTTTGATACATGTATACAAAACTATTTATGTATAATAGCAGCGGCCAGGGGATTATTACAAATCTAATATATAAAATTCTCGTGTCACGGGGTTCGAACTTGAACTCCTCCGAAACGGCTCGCCCGATTTTTGTGATCCTTAGCGTGATTGTCGGCCAGGGTGGAGAATCGGCCAACATCTATTTTTCATCCCCCTAAATGTTAAGGGTAGTCCACCCCTAAATTTATATTTTATTTTTTAGGAAAAATTTTTTGTTTTTATTTTTTTATGACACAGCATACAAAAATACATACAACCCTAAATTTTCACCCCTCTACGCAGACGTAGTCGCGGGCAGCAGCTAGTCTAATATATAAAATTCTCGTGTCACGGTGTTTGTAATTGTACTCGTCCGAAACGGCTCGACCGATTTTCGTGAAATTTTGTGTGCACATCGGCCAGGGTGGAGAATCGGCCAACATCTATTTTTCATCCCCCTAAATGTTAAGGGTGGTCCACCCCAAACATTTTTTTCTACCCTACAAATAATTTATATGGCCAAACAACGTTTGCCGGGTCAGCTAGTAATCTATATATACCTGGTCATCGCGGTAGCTGCCAACGCTACGCGAATGTTTGTGCCTACGAACGTTCATCATCAAACCGCGACCTTCCACTCCGTCCTGAAAGTAAAGCAAAGTATCAGCCTATACATGTCCCACTGCTGGGCAAGGGCCTCCTCTGTACAGAGGGCATCAGGGCATAGTCCACCACGCGGCCCCACTGCAGATTGGCGGACTTCACATATCTTCGAAATACTCCTGAACAGTAATAGCATATAATATTGTACTAGTGAGCCGCCCCGGCTTCGCTCGCAGCGAGTCACATAAGTAATAAGCAAATAGGATGTGATATTTAATTTATTTATCTATATTTTATTGAAAACACCTTAAGAATTGATTAGAAGGGCGTTCTCTACTCTCCTATTCGCATTCTCTACTATTCAACCTGGGGCGTAAGGGGAATCGTGTTAGGTGTAATAAATGAAATTACAATAGGGATTTATGTGATTAAAAACAATACATATGTTTACTAGGGTGGTTATTATTTTTAATTTTCCTTTAAGTGTTACCATCCAAAATGTTTCAGTATGATGAGAAAATAAACCCTTGCCGTAGAGAGGCGCTGTAGCGAGGTCAACTCTAAGAGGTCGCTATTTTCAGTTTAGTTTCCTTTACATTTAACACAGAAATTTTCGTTAAATTTTTCGAATAACCGTTGCACATTCTTTAAGCTGACTCTGTGAGCTTTTCAAAACTCTATAATAATGCATTATTATCAAAATTAGAAGACCAGTAACATTCATCTGAAAATTACTAAATATGTGCCATCGAATAGTTTACCATAAAATTTTTTTTCGTCATTTATTAAAAGGTACATCATAGAGTACAAAACAGGAACATTATTAATTTGTAGAAAAAACACAAATAGATTGGCGCCGCTGTGGGAATCAAGCCCATGTCTTTTATCTACATTGTTTTTAGCATTTGAAGCAAGCCATTTTTTAATTCGACACATTATTATTACAGGCGTATTCACAGACTGAATAACATGTAAACGTTTACCTTGAAACGATTAAACTGTCTGTATTTCCCCCTCTCGGAGGCGACCAGGCTGCGTAGTGATTGAGTCTTTGGGCACTTGTTGTCGGCCAGCCAACGGTACGTGCCGAATAGTTTGGACGTGTCCGATCTGAAACGAGGAGAATGATGCTGATCGGTTGGGTCCAGCGGTCGATAATGCCCGGTTCTTATATTCAACGAACGGCCGTTAGTTACATAGCTTCGTAACTTTCGTAACGACTTATTAACAAAGCTATATTATCAATATGAGGCGTTTTCCTTACGAGCCGTTGCATTACCTACGGAAAGCGAGTTACTAGCGTTCCTTTTATATACAAGACCCATATGTATTATACATATGACCATTCCTCTTGAATCACTCTATCAAGTAAAAAAAAACCGTATCAAGATCCGTTGCGTAGTTTTAAAGATCTAAGCATACATAGGGACAGAACGACAGCGGGACGACTTTGTTTAATACTATGTTATATATATATATATATATATTATGGATTACTTTTCGCTTACTCACAGATTACTCGGAGCTGTCAGAAGACGTTGCAGATTGCTCAGGGTCGGCCTCATGTCGGTCACTGCCAACCCCCTTCCCCAAAGCAACTGCGCGATACACTTGTTGAGCAGGAACATCGCGTAGCGGAACAGGGACACGTCGCCGCCTCGAGCGAAGAGCGGTATACTGTGGGAGGAGTGAGAAAGATATACATTTAGAATGTGGCTACATCTCGCACCACTCAATTTATACACTGGATCAGAACAGGCAGTATCTGCAAACGAGTGGCAAGTCGGTATTACTGTGGTGGGGTCACGGAACAATATCCACAAGTAGAATTTTTACACATCCGCGTTTCGTTTGGTGATTGAGGTGGTAGCCGGGGCCCAATTATTAAAAGATGACACCGCATCTGTAACCCTACGGACGTTGCAAATGTTGAACCACCGGCTCGTTTGCCACCTTCTAACAAAAAAAATTGGAGATGCTCGATCGTGTCTTTATGCCATCTATTTATCATATGGACAAGATCCATCGGTCTAGAACAGACTGATATAATGATTACTCACAGCATACACTGGAGGGGGGGGGGGGTCTATTTATCATTGGACAAGATGCAACGGTCAAGAACAGGCTGATATGATGATTCCTCATAGCATACACTGGAGGGGGGATCTATTTATCATTGGACAAGATGCAACGGTCTAGAACAGGCTGATATGATGATTGCTCATAGCATACACTGGAGGGGTGAATCTATTTATCATTGGACAAGATGCAACGGTCTAGAACAGGCTGATATGAAGATTGCTTATAGCATACACTGGGGAAGGGGGGCGTCTACTTATCATTGGACAAGATGCATCGGTCTAGAACAGACTGATAATACGATGATCGCTCATAGCATACTCACTTTGGATCCGGCCAATCGGGCATCACGTCAAGTATCTTGCTGGCGGAACCCAGCAGTGTGATCTTGTAGCGTAGCGGCTGATTCAAGATGGCGGCGGCCAGTGACGTCGCCTGCGCCACGAAGCCGGCCGCAACGGAATCGCACACCGCGTTGCTGGGCCTTGTGTTCTCGTCGTCGCAAATCGGGAGGGGCACGTCCAGTATTCGCCAGGTATCCGAGTCGCTCTGAAATTGCCAACAGTCTAGTACGCTGCCCGGGTAGGTTGCGTGTCAATAAATGTCATGTCGACGGAATATTAGAACGGCTAAACTCGTGTAGAATCTAGTTTCGGACCATTTTTTTGGAGGTAGGTTTGCAAGCCATCTGGCGGTTCAACTGATGGTAAGTGACGAACGACCCTACCGCTGACCGAGGTAATTCCTTCCATACTCTCCTCCTTAAGAAGCAAATATACAGACGACCCGAATGGCGAAGGGGGTAGTGTACCTGCATCCTGCGCCAGAGGGTGTGGGTTCGATCCCCAATACTCGAAAAATCCAGTGTCTGGATGTTTATATATGTAGTATATAATCAGTTAAATCAGTTATCTAGTACCCATAGTACAAGCGTTGCTTACTTTGGGACTACAGAACGTTGTGTAAAAATGTGTCCTAAAATATTTATTTATTTATTACTACGTAACTTGATTTGGTCTTTTTTATTTGAATTCATAAACTACAGGTAATTCAAGATATTAAATACAGTTTTAGTATAGTTGTAGTAATACGACACCGAAACAATTTAGGAACGAAAATTTACTATGAGGATTAAAAAACAGAGAACAGCAGATCGTATGCTTTTAGCATGATGGCTTCGTGGCGCAGTTGCCAAGGTATCGGCTTCGGCGCTGGGGGTCGTGGATAAGATTCCCACAAGAAACAACTATTTACGACCGACGGGTAATTGTTTCGGATCTGTGTGGGTCACGATAAACGTACACGTTACGACACAGAATAATGTTATCCTACAGTAAGAGAAGAGAGAAGACTACAATAGCTATCTGCATCGCATTTGTCGTTGCGTCTTACTACCCAGCCCCTTCCACACAAAATACAAATACAACGATTTTAGCATACATTACCTGTCGATGCAAACGACGCATGCTATTTCAGCATCCATTACCTGCTCGATGTAGAATATCTGGTGCAGCTGTGTCAGCAGCTCGCAGCGCTGGTTCGCCAAAGCGGCGTGGTTCCTGGCGGCCAACTCTCGCATAGCGGCGCACGACTGTTTAGTCTCCCTCAACAGTTCGTTGCGACGTGACAGCGTGTGGTAGTTTTCCATCAGCTCCAGGCCTGGTAACAATATAAATATACTAGCTGACTCGGCCTGTTTTGCCATATAAATTATTTCTAGAGGAATCGGAATGCACGTATAGTGTTTGATAGCTTACACAGACATAGTTGACAGGTTGACAGGTACAGTTTCTATTGGAAAATTAAATTGTTGCTCTTTCGATTTTCAATGCAATTTATCCGGAATTTCTCATCGTTTAAACCTTCCCTGGACTGCCACAAATATTTCAAAACCAAAATTAGCCAAATCGGTCTAGCCGTTCTCGAGTTTCAGCGAGACTAACGAACAGCAATTCATTTTTATATATATAGATAAGAGATTTCCACCGATAATTATCTCATCACAATATCTCTGAAACCATAAGGCGTAGAGACTTGAAATTTGGTAGGAATATTCCTTTCGCCGAGTAGAGCCAGCCGGATTTTACGAAATGTTACCTGTTGGGTCCGCTAGTACTATAAATACGCGTTGCGCTTTGTGACTTTGTTCCCAAACCTCAAGAAAGATCTTCGAGGTAAGCAGTTTTCCGACGATAAAGAGTTGAAGGAAGAAAAATATTATTAGGGGGTATTGAAAAGTGACTTTCTCGCTCAAATAAGTGTATTCAGGTGACGGGTATATAGTCCATATTGAAAAAAAAAAATTTATTCAGAATTTTCTGAATATTCTTTCATGCATGTACAGAGAATAATCGAACGCCCCTCGTTCTATTACTTTTATGCTAAAAGATTTTAACAGCTTAGCAAGAAAAACCGCATTTGATACGTGTAGAACTCGCAACCATTCATTGGTTTGTTTGGACTGTTTCTTTTAGTTTCTTTCAGGGTCTTCAAGAAAACATCTTACTGATAGAACTATTCAACCTTTCTGAACTTGCTAGACACCTATATTTCCCGAATATAACTACTAGATTTCCATTAAAGTGCCGTATGAATCAATTACAATAATCGAAATATCAAAACAGCTTACCGACATCTTGATTCTCTTCAAACAGCTTGCTTTGTTTCTCTTTCAATCTCCTTATATTCGCCAGTTTGCTGTCTCTCTCGTCCGACAGTATTATTCGCTTGAATCGTAGAATTTCCAATTGCTTCGTCAGTCTTACATACTCTGCCCTTTGAAAGGGAGAAGGTTTAGACTGAAAATCATATTTATTTGATAACATATTATTGCAATCTTAAAACATTCAGAGAGCTGTTATATCCAAGATGTATATTAAACGGAATTCACTTAGGGATATAGCAAAATAACAATAAAAACCGAAAAATTGGAAGCTTTAATAAAGTAAATTTGTATAAAACTGAAAAAATATAGACTTTTGACATGGTTACGTCTTGTCATATACAGAACTGGTCATCGTCTTGTTACATGGGAATTTCGTTAATAGCAATTCCTCATAATAAAAATTATACAGAGCTAATACATACAGAAATATTACATATAGACCGGTATATGAGTTAGCATATTTCTTATACCTATAAGAAATATGCTAACTCAAGAAGTAAATCAAGAACATGCAAAGCAAAATCAAATACAAACCTTGAAGGACAAAAGGTCGTTCAGTTTTAGAGTCAGCCTTGGTCCGTTCGAAACCGGCCTGTCGTCTTTGATCTTGCCGTTCTTCACGGTCAGTTCGCCGTGAGAGCTTGATTTCTCCCTGCCTAGACTTTCGTCCGGCGAGAACAGGTTCCTTTGGGACCTGCTCTTCCTCTGCTTGAGATCGTTCTGGTCGTCGCTCCGCGCCCACGCGTCGTCTGTCAGCGCGGACTTCTTGTAGATCCTCGCCTTTATCTCCTGCACCGCCTCCTGGCGTTTCTTTATCGAGTACTGCAGCAGGTGCAGCTTCTGCAGCTTGCCCGCGTCATAGCTCGGCCTTATCTCCGACTTGAGGAAGCTCAGCGCCAGATACCGGTATTTCGGCTCGCCGTCCGATTCGTTCCTCAGGTCGTAGCTCTCGGCGGTCTCGCTCAGGTCTATCTTGCTGCTGGACAGCTCCTCGCGTGATGTGAACTTCGACAGCTCGGTACAGTTCACATCGCCGGTGGTCACGTCCAGATGGTCGGGCGAGTGCTCGTATATCTGGCTGGGGTCGCAACGCTGCCTCTCACTGCTGCCCTCCCTACTCCTCAGCTCCCTCTGGTTCAGGGAAATGTTCAGGCTAGCGGAAGTTTTTAGTGTCGCGAAGTTCTGTCGAAGGCCCCTCTCGACTGGACTGTGGCTCTTCGAGTACTCCTTGTCGGATAGCTTCGAGTACTTACTGGGCGATATCGATCGGGACTCTTTACTCAGTCTGTGGTTCTGTGTCTTGTGGTCGAAGATGATCTTTGAGATGTTTGTTCTCCCGGAGGATTCGGACGACAGGGATCCCTGTTCCAACTCGTTCTCGGGCGGCATCACGTCCATTTTGAGGCTTTTGTACGAGCAGAAGTATCCGCCGTGCATTTGGAACACGAGCGTGTTGCTTTTGAAGCAGTCGGATGTGAAGTTTAGCGCTAAATTGGCCCCTATGTATCTGAGACCGCTGAAGTAGACGCCCCACGTCTGGATGACGGTGTCCTGTGGCATTTCGCATTTCTCGTCAGCGTTAATGGGAAGTACCACGTGACACCATATTCGTATGACCACGTTCGTAGAGGACATACTTTGCGTTATTTCTAAAAGAAGAAAAACATAATATTGATTACAAAGTCGTGCTTCTAATAAAGTTGGAAACGGTATAGATCAGTTAATTCTATAATTTTTATAAGTGTTTGATGATGACATTCTAGAATAGTTTATTTTTCTTTTTTCTCGTGATAACCTAGCATGCTATACACCTAATGTTCCAACCTTAATAAAAGTGGGTCCCGACTACCACACTCACCAGACGAAACGCGGAAGTATAACTTCCACTTTCACGTAAGTCCATAGTACTTCCCATACAACAACAAACGCTACATTTAAGACTAATACTATTATTTAAGACTAATGTAACGTCATAATGTGCCACACAAAGTCAATGGGAATTGTCTATTTTCAGGTAATTTGCAAGTACATGATTTCTCCTCACATATTGATCCCAGATTTGTTCCAGAAAATCGCATGAGAATTTTTTTCTCATTTGCTACCTCAAATAAGGCTGCACACAGTATTTGCAACTATTTTATGTGTTAACCCGATGGTAATTGACAACTGACGCCCATGGACATTTGCAACACCCACAGTCGTGGTACGAGTACCTACTTACCCGAACGGACCTGCCCATTCGTGCAACAGCTAAGACTGTTGCGTGGCCCTAACACCGTAGGTAAACATCTACCAGCCTGTGACAGGTAGGTGTATTGACAATATGAACGTAATCAATGAATGCTTTATTTCACCTTGTTTTCAAAACAAATATTGTTTATAAATTTTAGCTTTCTGCACTTCTTATCCATGCAAACATGAACTATGCCAAATCTCACACGCTTCACAGATTAATATATAAGAATAAACCTTCGTACTTCTATTACAACACACCGTTTACGTTTGAGATCTATTTTGATAAGTAATAAAGTGCGAGCCGTGATAGCTTAGTGGCCGGGCGTTTGAGCCGTGTAGCTTAGTGGCATTGCAATGTACTCGAGCAACCTTTTTTTTTATAAGTTTCCTAATGAGCAGGCGGTTCACCTGATGTTAAGTGAATACCGCCGCCCATGGACACCTGCTACACTCGAGGATTTGCAGATGCGTTGACAACCTTTTTGGAAATTGGGCTCCGGCTACTTCACTCACCAGACGAAACGCGAAAGTATTAGTCATACTTCCACTTTACGCCGGTCTTCTGTGAGGTCGTGGTACTGGCCCGGACGGGCCTGCCCATTCGTGCAACAGCCGAGGTTGCTGCGTGGCCCTACCACCATTGCCGGTGCCGGCACCAATGAAATTGTTAATTTCCACTTTAAGTGCTGACTTATCACGTGCTAAGCGTGAAAATATTAATACGAAGATATATGAATTGTGCCAATCCACGCTGGGTCCGCGTTGTAGAGTATGCCCTTATACCCTGCGCTGAGGAGGCTTTTGCCCAGCAGTCGGACATATAGGCTTTTACTTTACTTTTAAAAGGTTCACTTGTAAATTACTGATTTTAATAACTCATCTTCTGGCTTAATTTTCATTTTATTTTTAGTTTAACTGGTATTTTAAACGTAAACAATGTCATTTTCTCATTGTCATGTAATCATTGAACGGGCACATTGACAATAAAAGATTATTACTGTCAACAACTTATTATTGCACTCAGAACTGGGCACTGCAAACAGTGTAAATAGGGGAATGAACTCTACTACTAAAGATGAAGAGTTATAAAAAAATTCTTATAATAATAATAATAATAATAATTTATTCGCATAAAACATGGTACATAATATACTGGTGTCTAAATTTGTTACAAAAGCTCACATGTTTCCCAGGTGCGGCATAATGTAATATCTTAAACTATAAGTACACAAGTAAAATCTTAAACTTTATCATGAACTTTATAAAGAAATAATTACCACTACATGTACAAAACAAAGTCGTCCCGCTGTCCGTCTGTCCCTATGTATGCTGACATATTAAAAACTACGCAACGGATCTTGATGTCTAGAGGAAGGTTTATATGTATAATACATTGCATCCGTGCGAAGCCGGGGCGGGTCCCTAGTATATAAAAAGTATTACATGTTTGTATGTGCGCCATTTGCTGTTGAACCTTAAAAATTTCCTTCAAAATTTTTGAAAGATGTTCGTCTTATACATATCGCTGCGACATGTCGTTTCATCGCTCAATATTTAAACATAACCATTCAGCGAGGAAATGCAGCTAGAAATCTTCTTACAGAAATTTTGGCAACATGCCGAGTGGGCTAGGTTTATTAGATAACAAATACAAAAAACACATAGACATACTTTATATATAGATATATATTGTCCATATATAAACTTTATTTATACTTATGTAATAAAATGAGCGGTAAATTATGCCAAAATCTTTATTTCGAATACCTACGATAAGCGTGGGTTATGTGAAAATTTGTCAATCGAATAGGCAGTTCACCTGATGTTAAGTGATACCTAATAAGTGATACCGCCGCCAAACATGTCCGTTAAATAGGGGGCCCTCTTAAATATTTTTTTATTTTGTTTTTTAGTATTTGATTTTATATCGACAACAGAAACACGTTATCTGTGAAAATTTGAACTGGACGGACAGACCGACAGGAGTCTTAGTAATAGGGTCCCGTTTCACACTTTGGGTACGGAACTCTAAAAAGTGAGCCCTGGTTACCTCAGTCACCACACTTTACGCTGGTGAAGGCCGCCGTACTTACCCGGACGAGCCTGCCCATTCGTGCAACAGTTAAAGCTGATGCGTAGCCTCTCAATGATGCGTTAAATTAACTCGTTTGCAAAATGGGCCGAAGGTCGGCTTGGCGGGACTTCGCTATCAGCGCATGACTCACGGACATTGATAATGTCCAAAATGTAAACAGTCACTGTGGCATTACGTAATTTCTAATGAAGATAATGCTACTGTTTGAGATCTAGCTGTATTAGAGATCTCCAGTACTTATAAAATCAAATCAAAAATATCTTTATTCAAATAAACGCTTGCGCTTTCTTATGAATCGTCAAATTTTACATAAAAAGTTATATATATGGATTCGTAAGGTACCACCGGTTCGAAAAGCAGTTTCTGTTGAGAAGACACCGGCAAGAAACTCAACAGTTGCTCTTTTTCAAAAATATCAGTTTACAATAACATACCGGTACAATAATCTTATTCTACCCTACGTGAGTATCAACAGTATTAACTCCTCATCAGTTCCCTTTCAGAGTATCAACGGTATTAACATTATGCATTTCCTTTTCAATGGATGCTTAAAGAATACTTAATCTTCGAAGGTAAATTTATCTCATGGAAATATTGAGCCGAGTAACTAAATATTAACGTAATTTGGCGGCAGACAGAAAGCAAATTGTATGGCCTTCACTCTGAGACGTTACGGAGTTTGAACTTTAAAGTTATGACGCTAAGAATTGACTCGGATGTGCTGGCACAGTTTGTTTGCGTCGATATTTGTTTTTTTGCTTTTGAATTCTTTCAATACCTCGTCGTATAACGTGCAAACTTTTTGCCAGATTTCTTTGGGTCAGATTTCAAAACAGGGGGATCGAGGGCGTCTATAATAAATATATCAAGCAAATAATTACAACATTGTATTACAGATTATTACAGAATGCACAGCAGAACTGACGCGGTCCGGTGACCACGCAAATTATCTGAGCAAATGGCATCACCGTCATACTATTGTCAATATAAATTACAAACGCCCCAATAAACTACAAAACGGTGCGAACAATTACGTAACGCGATAGCAATGACAATTGACCCATATTTTTGACTACACGTAAGGGGGTTTGACGACTCCGTGGCGCAGTTGCCAAGGTTTTGGCTTCAGTGGCGGTTGTCGTGGGTTTGGTTCCCACACGTGACAACTATTTTTATTATTATTATCATTTATTATTTGTGCGACCCACAGATAGTTGTTTCGTATCTGTGTGTTTGTCCACGTGATATTAATGTATGTAATGTCCTTCGACGCAGGATAGTTTTATTCTACGGTAAGGAAAAAAATTTCGAAGAGAAGACTACAATAGATCTTTCTGGGTGCCAGAGTTCATTGGTACTTACAGCTTACTACCCAATCACTTTCACAAAAATTGTGTTCATAGACTACAGCGTTTCTTTTTTTTTTTAATTTACTCATAAATTTCAAATGGAAAGACTACTAGTAAGGATTAAATGCATCAAACGACGCGCTGACTCAGAGTTTGTCGAGTTTATCGGGCGAATTGAAACAAATAAAATAATTATTTGCAACTCGACAGGTAAATGGAATATTGAGTGGGGCTTTGAGTATATTTTTTTTCGGATTTATGTGATGCGATACCGCCCTGAATACACTGAATACAGATCGCATCCCAAAATAAAATTAAAAAATATAATATAAATGTAATGAATGTAAAAAATTTAAATAAAATAAATCGTACCCACACAAGAACAATTCTAATTTTCATTATTTAGTAAAAACTCTCTTTTGACCCTTCTCAACTGTTTTCCTCATTGCGACGTTTCAATTCGTCATAGGTTATTCAACACTCTAAATTCAAACAGTACCGAAATTATTACATTGGTTGTCTACGTGAATAAAACGAGATCTCCTGATTATACTGGAGACATAACTTGAAGTTATGGAATTTAATTTCTGAGAGACAATATTCCGGTCAATGACCCGCGGAGTTAAAAACGACACGTAAGTTTCTTCTTGTGATAAAAAAAAACAAACCTATTACTTAAATTTACTTTCAACAGTTTATCTCTTATCCTTTAAACGAGCAATTCTTGTGTATATATATATAATCGGAATCTCGGAAACGGCTATATAATCGATCTAGCTAGGTTTCATTTTCAGAAAATGTCCTTTTATCCCTGTTTTCAGGGAATGAAAACAGGGATAAAAGGACATTATTTTCATTATTCATTATTATTCGAATACGACGGTAAATTTCACCGAAATAAAATAGCTCGGTCGGTAATCGGGCGGCCGCTAATAAACAGCCAGGAAACAGAAGGCCGTGGTTCGTATCACGATCATTTACACATTTATTTTTTTACTTTTTTTTCGATTCCAGAACATTACTTTCCTTATTTTTAATTTTTTGTCGATTTGTTATTTTGTTATTTTTTCCCTTTTTTTTAAAGTTCTTTCTTTTGTGAAAAACATCAGTTCATATTTTCTTATTTTTACGTCGGTAAGATCGAAAAATATTATGCATATTTCATTACTCAGTAATTTTTATCTAAGTGTAATTTCCAAAACACACGATTTACCAAAAAAAAAAAACAAACCGAGCAAAGCTCGGTCCTTCGGGTACTGATTATTAAAAAAGCATGTCCACTTAAAATGTTATAAAGAAGATATTTATGGGATTATCACAGATTATATAATGGACATTTATAAACTTACATTTAAGTTACAATTGGGATAAAGGACAAACTCGACCGATGTTACAATTGGGATAAAGGACAAACTCGACCGATGATCCCCATACGGACATAATCAAATTTTATCGAAAACAACTTTGAATACTATGTTACCAAACGATGTTAAGATCCGAATTAGACCTTTCTATGTTAGAGTTTGTAAAACGTTTTTTAACGAGTTTTATACTTTACGGACCGGTTTTTTCTAGCGGTTATTAATGGGCCGTACCTAGATACCTCACCGTCCTATCAATTGATCATCACTCGCTTGATTTAAAACAGAGGAATTTTAATATTTTCGCCTATCCAGGTTCTTGCGGCTTTTGATTTCGTTTTTACGCGAATATTACGGATGGTTAATTGAAACTATTTTACAAATTTTATCCTCTTTTAATTCGATTTTCAAATTCCCGACTGTTCGAACCCTTTCCATAACGATGTGTTGCACTTTCTAACGTCAAAGATCAACCCTTAATATAAACTCTTAGATGTCTAAAAACCTTGTCCGGGCGCTCGCCTTTAATTTAACAACCTGAGTTCGATCCCCGGTGCCGGCACCAATGAAGTTTTTAACTTTAAGTGCTGACTTATCACGTGCTCCGCGGTGAAGGAAAACATCGTGAGGAAACCTGCATAGTTTCGAAATAATAAAAAAAATATTTTTCGAAGATATGTGAAGTCCGCCAATCCGCAGTGAGGCCGTGTGGTGGACTATGCCCTGATACCCTCTGTATAGAGGAGGCCTTTGCCCAGCAGTGGGACATGTATAGGCTGTTACTTTACTTTTAGATGTTGTTTCATGGAACACGGTTCGTGCAACCCTTGCTTAATACATTCGAAATGTCTTTATTTAAATAGACGGTTGCGCGTGCATATCAAACGTTGAATGTTAAATAGAAATTGATACATAAGTTCGAAGTTACTACCGGTTCGGAAAGCACTTTCTGTTGTGAAACTCAACAGTTGCAATTTTTTTAAAAAGATCGGTTTACAATATAACATAGGTATAATAGTGTATGACGTGAGTATTAACAGTATTAACACCACATATTGGCGTCGTTGAGATATTCCGCAATGGTATAATATGCTTCAAGCATAAGTTTACTTTCACTTTTACGTTAAAATTGATCAAGTGGCAGACTTAATACCGACTGTGGGATTTTATTATGCATGCGTGCACTTGACCCATGAATGACCTATGAAGCGCGATAATACCTGAGTCTATCTCCTTCCATTTGGGGTGCGGAGAGCATATCCTCTCACTGGTGTAGAACGGCGCTGACATCGTGGTCTGATGCAGAGTCAGGTAGTAGCTGCACTGGTGGGTGCAACTCTCGGGCGGTCGTATATTGTAGCCCACAATCTGGAAGGCGTTTCTATATTTTATCATTTATTATGCTGAAGAAGTAATTAAGACCGGTTATACAGTGAAATGAAGGACGTCGAACATCTTAGTCACTTCTGTTAAAGTATTTTCTACCAAAAAAGAAATTACCTGTTAAAAGACAGCTGGATACATAAAGGAGGTCTATGAGAATAAATGAAGATCCATTTATTATGTACTAAAATAAATAAAATGCTCTTATGCGCATTTTCAAGATCAATCTGTAACTTTAAGGGAGATCATTTTCCAGTGTTTTAAGTGTAAATCTTAAGACTTTGGTGACACTTCGGTGGTGAAAACGAAACTAGCCCTTAATTTTTTTAGGTCTCCTTTTAAAGTTAGGGATTGATGGTGAAAACAGGCATTGGTGTCTTATAACCCCATTGTGATAAGCAGAGACAGCTGATGCTATATTTCACCAAGCTTATTTAGAAACATGACAGCCTTGTCATCATACTTCAAGCACAAACGCCAGTATACATTTTAATTTCTAAAAAGTTTTACGTTGACCGTGCTTTAGCATCCTGTTTTATTGGAGGATTTATATACCCAAATTATGTTTTTTTATGTGATAAGGTGGAAAACGAGCTGGTGGTTTACCCGATATTTAATAATAACTGCAGCCCATTGACATTTGCAAAAACGCAGACGAATAATACTCCCACTTGAGTGGGAGGTTGTGAGGTTGTGGTAACCATAGTAGTGGTACCCAGACAAACCTGTCCATTCGTGCAACAGCCAAAGCTGTTGCATAGCCCTACCAGTTTTATTCATAGAACATAATTAGTGAAGTGATTTAAATGAATATTGTTTATCTGAAATGAATAATGTTTACTGGGTTGGCCTTTATGGTAGTTATATTTTAAATTTCAATAAATCACATGGACTAACCCAACGGAAATAGGTTGTGTTCATCAAAATATGGACTGTCACAAAATTCATCATATAAATAATTCAACATTGCTTATACAGTATCTCGCAATTTTTTTTAATTTTTTTATTTGCTGAACCCTTTTTTAAAAAGTATAAATTTACATAAAAAAATTATTACTGCCACATGCTCTTGTATGCAATTTTGATATCAAATTATCAGACTCTGAAAACTCACCTTAAGTAAGATAGCCAAAGTTATTTTAATAACATGATAAGGAAATCAGAGGAGTGAATTTCACATGTAAGTTGTTTCTCTGTTGTTTGTATTAGAATATTGCTATATATATATGCTATATTATAAATAATAAACAGTATTAAAATGTCATTGATAAATTACATAATCATTGTGCATAATCATACTCGGTGACACAGTTGCTAAGCAATTGGGTTCGGTGTTGGGTTAAAGTATAACCTTTATAACCTTTCTTTTATCAGATATCAGAGTAGTGTTAAAACAATTATTATAATAAAGATTTTTTAAAAATAATGAAAAGCTTATGAACACAAGTTAAATTTTTAATATTTATTGTGTGGCAGTTTTATACAATAATGATCGACATAATGGAAATATAAATAAATTTAAAAAATATCCATCAAACTCATGGAATATGGAAGAACCGTTTCTTTTAATTATGATTTAATAGTAGTCATAAACAATTATGACATACCTAAATCGTGTCCAAGCCTTACAATTTGTCAAAAAGAAACTAATTACCCTGGATTTTTAGACACGTTTGGAAACTATTGCAAGAGTCACGTCTACGCAAACCTTAAATTTTATGGAAAGAAAAATAAATTACAGTACAATAATATCACCCTTGTTATGACTCAAAACGCAACCATTCAGTGTAGGCGTTTGTTGGTAAACGTTTTAACAATATATAAACTATGATGTCACTGAATCATTTTACCAATAGTTTAGTTTTTGGCTTGATGCGAATTTACCTGAATTAAACTTCTCAAACGAAGTTGCTGAGTCGCCAACGGCGTCCACTCTCTGCATCGGGGTCTTCCAAACATCATTATAAAATTTTAACTACACAAAAACGTTTGAGGCATGCTATTAAAATTAAATTATTGCACCGTTATAAACATATAATACACTCAGGTAAGTTACACATAAACATTAAGTAATATATAAATTTGAAGTTAAGAAATAATTTTCAAAGAAATAAATAAATAACAAAGCATTATTCAGCTGACTTTTTTCAAAGTCAATTTGTCACTGTCAGTTTTGATCACAAAACAGTTGCCAGTGCCACAATGTCATGATAAGCATAGAATAAAAAAAATGCATGATAATGCTGCCATATGATGAATATGCATGATAAGTTTGTTTAGTGTATTTTGCTGTTGGCCCGGTGGTTTTGAAAGTTTCGCAGGAAGAGATCCGTAGGTAAGTAATAGATTGCCAACTCACAAAAACAACGAAACTATTTCACGTAGATGGCTCGATAACGTCGTTTTCTCCGCTGTATCTCAACGAACCCTACGAACGAAACATGGACGAACATTCGATTAACAAGGCAAGGAGGAGGACACGATACAATCCAACCAAGTCCTATTATATTATATTATATTCAAATTTTTCAAATTTAAGTTCAAATGCTCGCAAGGTCGAAAATGTTTTCGTCTACTGTTCTACAAATTTTAAATTTCATCCTATGTGCAGAGAATAGCAGTATACAAATGAACATGATTTAAGTTTTAATAGCTCTAGTTTACATAAATATACCATTTGAAAAAGTGGGCGTTTGCTGTAAATAAACGGAGGAGTTGACGCCAAGCGTTGCTTATAATGCAATAAAAACAATAATAATACGTTGAGATTTCTTTTTTATTTCTCTAGCATGAAAATGAGCCGTTTAGAGTTGAGCATCAGGCGCGTATCCTGGAGGACGCTGAAATGGCTTTATCGGTTTGATTTTAAAAAATTCATTCGCAACGTTCTGAAATCTTTGTAGTATTCATGGATTCGTGGTCAGGTTTTAAAGCAAATGTAATAAATCCGTATAAATAATTTTCAATGAATAATCTTTTAAATTTGTTCATCTTGTTTAATCTCTAGTTTTGAGTAGCAGCAACATTCTCATTAATGACCGTATGATAAAATATTTCTGATAATATTTTCTTTTTCTTTAATACAGTACATGACTGTATGAAAGAAAAAGAAAAAGAAAGAATCGCAGAGTTTGGAATAATTTTAAAATATAGGAATAAAACAGCACTTGATTTTTATTAACTCACTGGGTTATTTAAAAGATTGTTACAAGAGTTATCAGTGGCGGATTTAGTGGCCCTAAAACCCAACAGGCCCGGGCCTAGGGCGGCCACATATTAAAGGCGGCCAATAGTGAAAAAAAATTCACTGATGATATCAAGATATATGATTGGCGCAGAAAAGGGAGCGGTTGGAACTTACTACAGGGGCTGGGGCCTAGGGCGGCCAAGTGTACAAATCTGCCACTGCAAATTATTATCGCCTAATAAAGTAGTGTGCAACCGTCACGGAGCATAAATGCAATACCCTTTTTTAGTGTAGTTGGCTGTTAGTCCGGTGACCTTGACAGCTTCGTAGAAAAAGATCCGTAGGTAATCGACTGCAGACTCAAGAATGCAACGTAGGTGGTGCACGAATATAGCGTCGTTCGCTCAACTGCATCTCCGCGACCTCATCCATAAGCTCCCAGTCTGTCTAATGTTCTTTTAAACTTACACACAATTATCGTCGGCTATATATTTTCTATGACCAATACTAACGCCCGGTTTCTGAAACACTGATCATCGTAGAATTCATGACATATACTACTTCTTTTATTTAAAAAAAAGTACCCTTTTGCCATGAGACTGGACCGGACCAGTATGTCCAGTCTCTATTGCTTGACTATTAATTTGCCTATACATATTAAAAACATTCCATCTATCATACTTTTATAAAATAAATATCCGTTACTCGTAAAATATCAATTAACTTTTAAGATTAAAAAGCTTGCCATAATTTTCTTTATTGCCGCGACGAGAAATAAAACACTTCTAAAGCAATGAAGCGTTTTATCATTTCTGTTTGTTGTGTGTTCTATTACGTAAAAATATTGGTGAGGTATTTTCGAATTTGCTATCACCCATTACACCCAATTTACATTAATTGCAACCAACATTCGATTTCAGAGGTGTTCAAGCTACGAAGAAGTTGAAGATGACTACATGGTAAATAAATATTACAATGATGAAGTGTCAAGTTTCGAAAGGAATGACGATATGGTGCCGGATATATATCTTCTAAAAGGAAACTACCAGAGGCTGAAAGAGGTGAGGAAAACGAAAAAGACCTTCTAACATATAAAGTGACGTGGGTTATTATATTTTAGCGTAATGAAAACCTAATGGAACACTTCTTGTCATTTAGTAAAGCAGGAAGTATCAGCCGATGCAAGTCACATTGTTGGATAAAGGCCTCCTTTGTATAGAGGGTATTAGGGCATTGTCCGCCTCGCGAACTGCGCATTGGCGGATTTCATATATCTTCGAAACAGTTTTTTTATTTTTCTTAAATATTCAGGTGTCCACACAATATTTTCCTTCACCGCCAAGCACGTGATAAGCCAGCACTTAAAATTAATAATTTCACTGGCGCTGGCACCAGGATTTAAATCTTTTTACTCGAGTAAATTAAAAACGAGAGTCTGGACACTGAGTTATTACGGCTCGCTTCATCTTTATATATATAAAGATGAAGCGAGCATGACACGTACACGATTGAGGATGTTACCATAAAAGCGCAATTTTTTCCAAATGTCACACGAAGGAAATAAAAAAACAAAACGTTTTCGCCTTTGGAAATGACTTCATAATAGCTTTAGCAATCCGGAAAAAATATTACCTATCCTGTTTTAGGATAATCCTCAAGAACAGTACTCGGCTGAAAAGAAGGCGGGAGATATAACCGACTTAATCGGAATAAACGTTCATTATCGACAGCCTAATATTTACGACGACCTTGGAAGACGGTTCATGTTTCATAATTACGTAAGAGAATGCTGCATTTTTTTTATTTCTCACAACGAGAAGGGAAGGTAGTCATGTCACAAGCAGAGTGATGAGTATGAATTTGGTTGGGGGGTGTAAAGTTAGAGGAATACCTAGAAAGATTTGGATGGACTGTGTAAAGAATGCTGTGTAAAAAATAAGAGTATGTAGAAAGTAAAAACTAACGTAGTCATAAATTGTTTCAATTTTATCGTATTTTTAGCCAGTTTGTGATATTATGATACCACTAGTATCCTAAATAAAAGTGGAAAGGCTAAATAGGCAGAATCATGTCTTAATTAAATATTAAAATTTATGAATAACAGGAAGTTCATTGTGAATTTACTTAAACGCAGTTGCTTAATTCTTATGTCGCTATGTGGTTGCGAGGACTACGAGTAATTTGGGTAATCCTTGAGAAATGATACATCCTTGGAGGAATATATTATAATAAAGTAATGGACGCAGTGAAGCTTTATTTCAAGGGGTCACATAATTAAATAACCCCCACCCCCCACCCCTTATATCAACAAAAAAAAAAGAGTAAGGTAGGGTGAGGTAAACCCGAAAAAATGTGTCTTTCTAACTTCTTTATCTTTTACAGGGATCCCAAAAAAGACGTAATACAATGGACACAATCGAAGATCGCCTAACGCCTGTGAAGGTATTGTGTTAGAAAATTACTTAATTTTTTTAATAATAGCGACGAAATAAAAATTTGATTGTTACAGGCTCCACCAGAATTCGTTTTAGCCGTAGCGAAGGAGTCAGCAAAATTACAAGCCGCAAATCCAATCCATGACACTGACGAAATCATCAGAAAAAAGGTTTTAAGGTCTGGGGTGGGTAGAAACTTTGCTGAATGATTATCTTTTTATATGAAAATGGCCTGAGTGAGCAAGTAGCTCACAAGTACCCTGACCTTGACATCTTAAACTTCGTACGGCAGGAGATATATCGCCTTTTAAAAGGGGGCGCCGGTTACTTCACTAATCAGAATTCACTTCAACTCACTCACTTCAACAAAATTGTAATAATTCCATTTAATGCCCATCTACTGTGAGGTTGTGGTACTTCCCCGTATGAGCCAACCACCCTTATAACAGCAAAGGCTGCTTCGTAAAAATATTTAAATAGACACATGTTTATAGGATTTTTCACCGCGTGACTCTTTACATTTTTTCTTCGCTTTGCAATTGTTTGAAATTTAAAATTTCAATTTTACGCTTCAAAAACATTGTTTACATTTCAAAAAAATTTCAATTTGTTGCTGAAATATAAATAGCATTCTTTCTTTGTCTTGACTAGCTGTGTATTTCTATGTACAATTTCTGGTAATTCTTCTAATATTAAAAAATACACTTGGAAAAACCTCGTTTCAATATAAAAATCTGAAATTTCGCTTTTAAGGACTATTGGGACTCCGTGTGGGTGGAAAATGTAAAAGATCCAGATAAAATTTTGAGATCGAGAAACGACGAAAATTTACCTCCTAAACTTGTAAGTATAGTTAGCGACACGAATACAGCTAAGAGAAATAAAATAATAATTATTATTACTCTCGTTACGTGACAGTAATAATGCTAAAAAGGTAATAAGTAAAATAATGCCAATAATAATCGAAAATCGAAACAATTGATTGACGTAGAGCACCGCTCAGAACTTATTGATAGTGTAGAACTATCTAAGTTTAATTGTTCCGGATCTGTGTGTAATTTGCTTACTTCTGCAAACCAGGTCAATGTCTTTCTACGATAGAAATAATAAATTGAAAAAACAATATATAAAAAGACAGACAAGAAAGATTTTTGGTAATTAGTTTTATAAGGACTTGTATTAATCGAAGTCGCGTTATAATTTTTACTTAACATTACTAGCCAAATTATCTTCATATCTACCACATGGTATTATTTGCTAAAGATGTTGTCACTAATCAAAATGATTGGCGGCTAGACATAAAGTTCGTAGTTGATGATCTTGCAGCTGAAAAGGCAATAATTGGCACTGTAATTGGAAGATATTATTATTAAAAAAAATTGATCCACAGGCAACAGTGAAGGCGAACATAATGCCAGGGTCTAAATTATACCGGCTGATATCTGTATTGAAACAAATTTCACCCCGTCTCATCTACGTTATTAATACGGCTAAAGATAATTAGTTATATTTTATTAAAAACTTTAAAAACTATGTACAAGTTGTTTTCATGCTTTTATTGTTACATAATTTAATTTTTTTTTATAAAAAAAGTCGGCCAGCGAGGACAGATGCTTTGCCAAACGCATTTTAGCATCAAAAACATAGTCCAAAAGCAGAATTAGAGTATAAGTAAATAGTTTCGGATAATAACATATAGTACTAACCCAGCACCAATTTAATTGGATCTTTTAAGTCTTAATTTTGGGCTAACAGTGAGCTAACATCTAATAACAACAATGCAAATAAGTACGTCAAAAATTTACGAGATGGCGCTTTACCGTTTTGTTATGAAAAATATATCTTTGTGTAAAATTGCATTCTCGCTGGAAAGAGATGAATACAGGCCATAGATAAATTTTAAAAGCAAAAGCTGATCTAACAACGGAACTGCAAATTCACAGGTGTTGAACATGACCACAAAATATTGATATATGCTACGTATAAGTATAAATACAAATGATTAAGTAACATTTAAGTGTATGTAGAGTCGATAAAGGCCCCGCCGAAGGGATTAATGACGAGGTCATTGGGCGGACGCGCCCAAAAGTCCGTCACTTTTACAACGTTCTTGAGATATTTCTGGAACAAGTCCAATATTTCCTTTTTGAGATCGGGCATGCGTTCTAACAGGGTCACCATTTTCCTCAGGTCGTCCTTCACTACGTTCTGTCGTTTGATCCTTTGCACCTCGTCGTAGAAATATTTAGCCGTGAGCGGATGCGTTTTCACGAAGGCGATGATTTCCCTAACTCTCCCTTCATGCTCCCCCTTGAGGAAACGCCTTTTTTTGGTCTCGCCGTTATTTGAAACAAATGAATTACTCCTTAACATTGGCCGTACGAAGTTATCGTTTATTTCAGCACGGTCAAGCAATTTTATATCGGTTCCTGTAGAACTGGTTCCATAATCATGTGTCTGTCTTTTAAGTTGTCTCAACAGTTTTATGTATTCTCCGTCGCGTTGGCAGCTGACGCAGAGAAATAAAGCCTGCAACAGATATATAATTTACGTCCGTTATGGACAAGACCGCATTAATCCATAGGGCTAGGTATTATTATCCTAGTGAAAAGGTATGTATTCTGAGCATCCCGTATGTTATACACATGTTCGGATTATTCCTGTCGCTATAAAGAACATAATTCCCAATAATCACATGAAATACTATTTCACATGATTATTGGGAATTTTGGTTGCGGCTCTTTTCATGCCACCCTCATTGCTTAGTACATCGCTTATCTTCCAGTTTGCTCACAAAATGTATATAAAATTTATTTTGGTAACATAATGTTACATATTATGGAAATTATGATTTATTACGCCCGGTTTCTGAAATTGATGAACTGATCATCGTAGAAGTCAACTAAACAGCTGTTAAACGGCTTTTCAAATGTGATTTGAGTTGCCAAATGGATTTTTAAACTTTCAACAGTTAGTTTTTTATATATCATACATATTATTTATATGAAAAGTTGTCAAGCGCGCAGGCTATTCAACTTATGTTAAGTGATTTACGCCACCCATGGACATCTGCAACGCCCGAGGTGTTGTAGATGCGTTAACAACATTTTGAAAAGTGGGCCCCGACTCACCAGACGAAACACGAAAGTAGGTATATTAAGACGACCCGAATGGCGTAATGGGTGTGGGTTCGATCCCCACTACTGGAAAAATATTGTGTAATGAACAGTGTTTTTCTAGACTTTCGGGTCCGCCTAAGTTGACGTTAGTCCGAATAAAGTCTGTGTAACGGTTTATTTACTTATACACTTTAAATTTCTTTCTTTCGATGTGTTAATAATACCTACTATTTGGCATGATAATCGAAATTTTTATGAATTATCTACAGGTTTATCGAAAAAGTAACATAAAAAACAATACAGTCTCTTAGAAAAGTTTTGTTCTAAATTTGAACATTTGTAAAATATATAATGTATACACACCAGTGTTTTACAGATGGATATCTTACATAATATAGATATCTCACGTAGGACTAATTACCTAATGCGTATTCTTTATTAAGGTGTAAAATACAGAATGATTCTTAATCGAAAAAACTTACAAATATGATTAATGTCCTTAATGTAAGATGAAACATTTTGAGAGTATAGTAGAGTATGATAAGAGAAAAAACCTATAATAGTAATAAAAAATATTGAATATTGAATGCGCTTTTCACGCATGTCAAAACATTCTGATTGGAAGCATTGCGTGCAGTTGCTGATAACGACGGAGAGAAACGATTGTAAAAAAAAAGCGTTAAATATTTTAAGCTCTTTGGATTTTGAAATCAACTCAATTTTTACTAAAATATTATGAAGGTATTTAAAAAATTTAAAAAAGGAAAAGTTACTAATATTAGATTGGGAATTGGATCGTGGGAACATTCCCACAAGTGGCAAGTATTTTTGTGCCACGCCCGTCCTGAGGACATCATTATAGCCTGTGCTAAACATAGGCTTCCCTCACAGGCTGCCACGAAGCACGATTCTGGGCCATTTGCATCCATCAACTTCCCACGCATTGGTCTTCACTCCATGTAATGGAGGGTCGTCCTACAAAGCCATGACTAATACTGCGGCTGCCACTCGAGGGCCATTGCCTCGTCGTTTATTGAATCCACGAGCTATATTATCGGCCTATTGCCATTGCTACTTCAGCTAACCAATATTCTGATCTGTTGGTTACCTTTGTACTATTGAGGATATCTGCATCACGACAACGAAAACAAAAAATATAGGTATCAATAATACACTAAAAATTTCGATGCTGGATCGATACCGGCTCAGCTCAACTGCTATTCTGCTGTCACCTATAATTATTTCCCAAGTTTCACTTGAAGAACTGTAGCTCCAATTACTGCATACTAATATAAAAGAATGAAATAACGTGAAGTAACATCCTACACATGATTTCTACTTCTGGGCAAAGGCTTGTTTTTTTTTTTTTTTTATGGGAAAAAAGCAGCAAACGAGCAGGAGGCTCACCTGATGGTAAGTGATCACCGCCGCCCGTGGACATCTGCAACATCCGAGGGCTTACAAATGCGTTGCCGGCCTTTTAGGAATGAGTACGCTCTCTTCTTGAAGGTTCCCAGGTCGTAACGGTTCGGAAAGACCGCCGGCGGCAGCTGGTTCCACAGAGTGGTTGTGCGAGGCAGGAAATGCCTTGAAAATCGCGCTGTTGTGGAACGCTGGACATCGAGGTGGTGTGGATGAAATTTTTGGTTTTGGCGCGATGTCCGATGGTGAAATTCAGCCGCTGGGATCAATCCAAACAATTCCTCGGAACACTCCCCGTGATAGATGCGGTAGAAGATGCAGAGTGACCCAACATCTCTACGCATAGCCAAAGGATCAAGCTGATCGGAAAGACCTTGATCGTCGATAACCCTAGCTGCCCTACGTTGGATGCGGTCAAATGGAAGAAGCTGGTAACAGGGGGCTCCCGCCCAGAGGTGGGAGCAGTACTCCATGTGGGGCCGAATTTGCGCCTTATAAAGGTTTAGGCGTTGAGCCGACGTGAAGTGCTGTCTCGCCTTGCTGAGCACACCGAGCTTCTTTGAGGCCAATTTGGCCTTACTTTCCAATTGACCGCGGAACTGGACATTGCTCGAGATTTCGACGCCAAGTATTCCGATACTAGCTGTGACAGACAGGGGAGTGTTCTCAAAATGAGGAGTCACGACAAATGGGGACTTTTTAGCGGTTAACGCGCAAACTTGTGTCTTATCGGGGTTGAATTGGACTAAATTTAGTCGACCCCAGTCTGAGACTTTTGTTAACAAAGTCTCGACTTCAGACACAAGTTTGTTCCGGCTCTCGTAGACGTTTTCCCGAGAAATGTTAGCACGGCCTGTGTACGAAACATCCACAGTGCTATCATCCGCATAGCAATGAACGCTGCTGATTTGCAACATATCATTGATATGCAGAAGAAACAAAGTGGGGGACAGTAGACCTTGTGGAACACCAGCATTGACAAATTTAGAATCAGAGCATGCACCGTCGACGACGACCTTGATGCTCCGATCTGCCAAAAAGCTAGTGATCCAGTTGCATAACTTCCCGGGAAGCCCATAGGAAGGCAGCTTCGAAAGAAGTGCTTTGTGCCACACCCGATCAAAGGCTTTCGCTACGTCCAGACTGGCTGCAAGCGCCTCCCCCTTGCTCTCAACTGCTTCTGCCCATCTGTGTGTCAGGTAAACCAGAAGATCACCGGCTGAGCGACCTCGACGAAAGCCGTACTGGCGGTCGCTAATCAGCTGGTGCTCCTCTAGGTACCGCAGGAGCTGGCAGTTAATGATGGTCTCCATTATCTTGGAGAGCAAGGAGGTGATGGCTATAGGCCTGTAGTTGGACGGATCCGAGCTGTTGCCTTTCTTAGGGATCGGGTGCACTAAAGCGGCCTTCCAGGTATTTGGGAATACGCCTAGAGTATAGGAGAGCCGGAAAAGACGCGTCAAAACCGGTGCCAACTCTGGAGCACATGTCTTCAACACGATCGGAGGGATGCCATCGGGCCCACTCGACTTATGAATGTCCAAGGAAAAGAGTGCTCTGCGAACTGCACTTTGCCGAAATTGAACCTCCGGCATCGTAGCATCGCAACGCGGGATTGTTGGTGGTAATTTTCCTCGGTCATCCAAAGTCGAGTATCTTGTATCTTGTATTAACTGATTTTTTTGCTTTCAGTCCCGAGACTATTAAAGCTTCATCTGACGCAAAACCGGTGGGCTAGCCAGAACCCACGGGTTTGGGCCCTCTGCTTTGGGTAGGGCCACGCATGTGATCATGCGTGCTTTTAACTATGGTGTGTCATCTAAGGGCCATCGAGGTCGTGGTTCGGACCGAAACCCCGATGGCCGTCGACTGTGCAATTAGCTAATCGGTGGCTGGGGGCGGTGAGAACCGCCCCGGAACGCGGATGTACCTTGTGTACGCGTTGTGTTGGTCTCGCCGTGCTCGGAGGCGAGGACAAACTAGTGTGTTTGTTGTTGCACTAACTGTGGGTGTAGTGTTGTCCGGCGGGACCCAAGGCGGTGGGTCCGACGTGTCTAAGTCCCCTTCCTCGACCGGGTCGATGAGGACGTTTCGCGGGCGACGCTTGTTGACGTTCGCGTTTGTGTCGGGTTGGTAATTTGCTGCGCTTACCACCAGAGGCTTGGGATGATGTTCGGCTCTATCGAAGAACCGTTTGGTCAGGTCTTTAAAATATTCGCGAATCGTCGGGAGTCTGCAATCGCTGTGCAGATCGACGTTGCGTTGATACCACTGCGCACCGGTTGCGTGGCGGATGAACTTGTTTTGTACTATTTGCAACTTGTACAAGCGAGTAGGGTGCGTGTGGGCGAAGATCATGCATGCGTAAGACATAATAAGTCGTACGCAGGTCTTATATAATAATAATTTGTGGCTTAAGGGCATTTTACTTTTAGCGTTAGTTAAATTGTGTAGGCGGCCGGAGACGAACACGGCTCTATTGCGAACGTTATTAATGTGCGTAGTAAATGACTTACGCGAGTCGAAAGTGACTCCTAAGTATTTGACCTTTTTCTCCCAGGGGAGCGGTTGGCCATAAAGGGATATTTGCCCCAACTTTCTGCATTGACGAGGGCCATTATAAAGATGTGACGGGTAAGTACTTCGTGTGAAGTGAATCGCCACACTCTTTTCGGGATTTATTTCTATCTCCATTTGCGGAACCAATCGCCGAGGCGGTCGGCAGCGCTTTGGAGTCGAGTGGTTAGTTGTCTAAGGTTGCGGTCTGAATAAAAGAGCGCCGTGTCATCCGCGAAAAGCGCGAGATTGACGTGGGGGTCTTTAGGTATATCGCTCGTGTAGAGCGTAAAGAGCAAAGGTGAGAGGCAGGAGCCTTGTGGTACGCCGGCCGTGAGGTGGCGGCTTGTGGAGAGGGTGCTTTCAACTCGATATCGAAAAGAGTGGTTCGACAGGAAGGCCCGGATGGTGTGTACGAGCCTATCTAGCACTGAGTGTGTACAGCTTGTAAAGCAAGCCGTTGTGCCAGACCTTGTCGAATGCTTTTGCGACATCGAAGAAAAGAGCCCCTGTACTAATATGTTTAGGGTGATTAAGGCCTTTTAGGATATGTTCCGTTAGGCGGAATAGTTGATCGGGACAGGAATGTCTAGCTCGAAAGCCGAATTGTTCCGCCGGCAGAAGGCCGTTGGAAAACACGTGCTCATTGAGCCTGTTTAATAAAAGCCGCTCGTAAAGCTTCCCCAGGCAACTGAGGAGGCTGATGGGACGATAGCTAGAGGGCTGGTTGGGTGGTTTATTAGGCTTGCGAATGCCGATAACCCTGGCTTCTTTCCAGTCGTCCGGAAAGGAGCAACTGGAGAGTAAAGTATTGTAAGTGGTCGCCAGTAAACAGATAAGCGGCCCAGGGAGAGCTTTAAGAATTTTGTTACTAATATTATCTGGGCCCGGGGCGGATTTGGGTTTTAAGTTTTTAATAATATCTTGAACCTCATCAGGGGTCACTGAATTCAAAGGATCGCCTTCCGGTGGAAGCGCAGCCCTAATCTCGATTACGCGGTCCACCTCCGTTAGGTGGGCTGTATCAATGTGTTCGTGCGATGGCGTACATTGCTGCTCTAGGTTGTCCGCAAGGCATTCGAGTCATCTAGGGCTACTGAAGCGCTATTAGGTCTAACTAACGGCGGTAGAGATTCGCGGGGGTCTGCTTTCAGACTGCGGGCCAACCGCCAGTAGAAGGTGTGCGATGGCTCGATGTCCTCTAGGAGAGTATCCCACGTTGTATGTCAGTCACACGATCTTTGACTTCTAGCTGAAGGTGGCGAAGTAGGGTTCGGTTCGATTCCGGTATCGGTCGAAAGCGTGTTTGGCTGCATTTTTCTGCCTAATTAGCAGTCGCAGTTCGGGCGGAAAGTTAAACCGTCGGTCGCCCGACAGTTTAACCGTCCGTTCCGAGTCTGCGACTGTGGAAGTGATGCTTTCTCGGAGACTTGCTATCGCTCGATGTGCGTCATCGAACGTAGCTATCGTCTCGGGTAGGTCGACTAAGTCCTGGGGGTCCAAGGCCTTGAGTTTGACCTCAAGACGATGCCCGTCCACT